GGCCCACGCAAGCCCTGCTGGGCGCTTACTCGTGTTTCTCGCTCAGCCTCGGCTCCGAGGAAAATGGTGCCCAGCGGAGGGGAAGCGCGTTGGTTAATAGCCAAGGACCGTAATTAACATCTGTAAAATGAAGCAGACTGCTGCGTCTTCAAACCGGGGATGCACACGCTGGGCTCAGGAGCGCAGTATAACGTGCGGAAAGGAGATTAACAAGCACAGACTGTTCCACGTTTAGCCGCACTCTGAAATACTCTGCTGTTGCAGAGCTCAGTTTTAACGTCACAAAGTGAAGACAACTAGTGTCAAATCAAGAGTTTGTTTTTTTTTTTAATGCATTTAGAACTGTTAGGTTCGCAAAGACAGCTTCAAATTATTTTTGAATGAATGTGCCTCTTACCCAGATTCATGTTTAAGCCTCAGGTGGTTTAAAAAAGGCATCTCCTGGAACATAATGCACAACGTACATCATGTTCTGCACCATAGATGTTCTGCATTGTACATTATGTTGTACATCCAAAAACAAAGTTGATTTTTTTTACCTTATCATGAGCTGACAATAAGAAGCTTGTGTTTCTCAGACTGAATTAAAACAATGTAATTAGTGCAAGGAATAAAAATGCTAAGTGTTACTTTTAGCTCGACTCAAAATTTCTTTTTCCATGCTGGGAGTACTTCCCAGTTCCTGGATCAGCATCCACGTCCCAAACTGTCGTGAGTTCACACTGGGTCCAAGAGTTGGGTACAGACCACCCCCATCTGCCTTGCTGCCCCCACGTTGCAGTCTCCATTGGAAGGAAAGATGAGTGGACCAGAAAAGAGCTGAAAAATCAGAGAACCGCAACAGGGGATATGCTGTGGAGCATGCCTGCTGACAGTTCAGGTGTATCTCAGGCATGGAGATGCTTAGGCATTATTCCTGCAGTTCTTATCCAGCTTGTGGCACGTTCAAATTTATCAGCTGCAGACCTGGTGTCATTCCTGGTGTTAATAATTCTGGAAGCCTGAAACCCTGTAACTGAGTTTGTTTTCAACTCTATTGGAGTTTCCTGGTTAGAGGACCTAGCAGATCCCTTACCCTTTGGAAAAGTTCAGAGTATCACCTGAAAAAAAACATTTTAGAGACGATAGTTAGAAAACAAACAAAAAGCCTTAATTTAACTTTTAGCATTGGTTACAATTATGATTGATTGATAATACTGTGTTTGATCACAGGTTAAAAGTACAAGTTCACATCTATGACTG